ACATTATTATTATTATTATTATTATTATTATTATTATCATCTTCATTATTATTTTCTGAGTAATTAGATGTGGGAATGTTTTCATTTAAATTTTAACAACAACAACAACAACATTATTGTTATTATTATGATTATAATGATGATTATTATTAGCTTTGTTTTGAAATATCTGTGCTGAAACCCTGAGGCCACAGTACAAGGTTTCTGAAAGTTATTTAACAGTTAACACAAGGTCATAATTTTACTTTTGTGTTTGATTTTGATTATGCACTTATGTGTATTAATGTTTTTCTTAACAAAAAAAGGTAACTAGAATAGAAGTAAAGCTTTCAAGCAAGTAAACAAAGAATGCAACTGAATGCCAGTTGAAAAGTGTCATGATGAGGACTTCAGATATAAGCTGGTACAATTATATTTATATATATATATATCAGATATAAGCTAGTACATTTTATTTTATTCTACCATTGTATTTTTTCTACATTGTAACAATGTGCTAAACCTGGTCTGCATAAAATTATGCTTGAATGGCAGGTGCAGTTGTTTGACTTTCAAATCACTTAGGCATCTTTTTTTATTAACCTTGCATATAAATAAATACAGATTTAAATTTCTATGGAGTTGCATGTGGAAATGTCATTCCTCAAAACATCAAACAAACTGCTTTAGGGCAATGCACCATCGCAAGCCCTCTAATGTGAAAGGCACTGACACCTGAAGCAAGGTGCAAAAAAGACAAATGTCATTTTTTCAGAAACAATTAACGAGAGAGCCTTCAGATTTGAGGACGTCTTCTCTTTCCAGGCTGTTGGCTTCTCTGTATGGCAGAGCGAGGCTGCTGTGGAGCTCAGTCTTATATCACTCGCTGCTGACATCTCCCTGTCTGAGCAAGTCAGGCCTCAATAGTGCTACATGTACACACACACACTGCTTCACATACTGCAAGAAAACCTTCTTCACCTGAATATTAAACAGTGCTGAGATCTCCAGCTTTTAAAAGGATGTTGTTTCTGTGTTTTCTGCTTGTAGGCAGCAGTAGTCAGGACTCTGCAAGAGATGATGAATCTCTTATTACATTATTGACCTTTTCAGAGCAACGTCACGGGGCCATTTAGATTTAAATGCTTTCAAGATATATTTTGTTAACCATTAAAAATGTAGACTCTCTGCATCCTTTTACAGAAAATGACCATTTACTACAAATCAGTTATTTACCTATTGCTAAATGCTCTGCAAAATGTCTGTTTGTGGATCTAGCATTTGGTAGATAGCATTATTGTTAAATGCATACAGGCATTGCGTTTTGTGTGTGTGATCTGAGTGTTTATTTACTTAAATTTTTTTTGAAGATTTTATATATATATATATATATATATATATGTGTGTGTGTGTGTGTGTGTGTATGTTAGGGGCTGTCAATAATAAATAATTACAATT